AGTACATGTTCCAATTTGGAACTTTTCTATGACTTTTTGGTATATCTTTTTTAATTTTTTATGTTTACTTGAATTTTTCTCGAAAAAGTAAATTTGAACTGCAGATGCATGAAATATTAGAATTTTGCGATTCAAAAAATGGTATTCATGTTTTTGAGTGTATTTTGAGGCCGTGTGCAGGAACATTCGTGAAATTTCGAACATCTGTTTCACGAAACATGATCACCAACTTGTTAAAAAAGTGTTTTTTAATTATATAAAATGCAAACGAAGTCCAAAAATCACGAAACTTGTCGAGGTGTCGTGTCATCACATGTAGAGGCTGTGGTAAAAAATTTAGAAGTTTCCGAGCAAATTGTGATGTACGATGCCTAAAACCCAGACAAGTTCTAAGGGCGCTACGACTCCTGCTATGCGTTCATCGTGACGAGCGCGTTGGAGACCACAACGCCATCAGAGGGGCGAACAACGTGGACCCGGCTGTGCAGTTATCGGAGTAGGAGCTCGTGGATTACGATCCCACGAGCAAGGGGCGGCGGCCTCGCCGTCCACGCTTTCTAGTACGTGATCAAGAATGGTGTCGTCGGCCTCCTACCCTTACAGGGGAGTGTATGGTTGTCGACAGAATATCGTCGGTAGTCCTCCGAGGGGTATCCCACGAAGGTAGATTGATCGGTAGAGAAGCGTGTGATCAAGAACAAGAAGGCAACAGAGACACACGAGTTAGACAGGTTCAGGCCGTCAGTATGACGTAATACCCTACTCATGTAGTCTGTTGGTTTGTATTAGCTATCGTATGATATTGCGTGAGTTTGGAGTGGGTTCCTGCCCGGCTTATATAGTCCGGAGAGCAGGGTGACAAGTCGGTTAGATCTGAGAGATAACCGGAAAGTAATAACTGATTACAGGAATCTTGGGATCATACATATCCTAATAGATCTCGTAGTATCTTCAGGATATCTTCCCGGTGTCTTGTGGGAGGCGCCAAGCAGAGTCGTGCCCCACAAGGCTTCGTCTTGTGGGCTGAGCCGCCCCTGAGGGCGCAGCCCATGTGGTCTGCCGTGGGAATCCGGAGTTGTACCCCCACAATGGTACATGCCACGCTAGCACCACACCGCGCGTGCAGGAGGTGCGACGCCTCGACAAGTTCCAAATTCTTTCAGCAGTTATGTTCGGGCTCGTTGACGTCTCCATCGCCGTCGGAGACGGCAACAAAGATTTCATGGACTACGAGGGCGGCGTGTACCGGGGCAAGTGCGAAACTAAGAACGATCGCGAGCTGGTATGATTTGTTTCTCTCTAATATCTCACATATAATTAATAACATGTATGCGCTGGCAAAAACATACTATACACTGAGAGATGAAGGGAAATGAGATGATACATGGTATTTATAGTGCTTTATAAGATGAAGAAATGTGATGCGCGCGAATTGTACTGAAATCATAAAATTGTGATGATTTGCAGTTTTGGATGAGTCAAACACGAAAACCGCAAGAGGTTAGAGAAAGTACATCATACATGTAGCTTCGGCATGCACGCTCAACACATGATGCATGCTACGTCTCCTTTCACGTATGGGGCACATGCACGATGAGTTCTTGGTGGTGCTTTGGCCAGGCCTCACAACTCACAAGCTAAGTGTTTATGATTTCACGATGCATTTGAATGCTGCATATTATTCTCTGTTTTGTGTGAGGTTATTCTGGCTTATTATTGTCTAGCTAGCCTGTTGGCATAACTTCGATATACCCTGGCAATGTAAGTAGCCACCCGCCGCATTCTCCGTGGGCCCTTTATTTTTTGAGAGAGGGAGGTATCCGAGGAAGGGGTGCAATGAAAATTGGCTAGCTCTATGGATATGTGGTGCACAACACAAACATTTTAGAAACCAAACGATACACTTTAAGAGTTGGAGTTAATGCATCTGTAATGCATTTTATTAAAAAAAGTCTTTGAATTGTCTAAATGACCTTAGAGGGAGAAACAATCTAAACTAAAGCTGTACTATTTTATTGGGTATAGATCCACACTAGAATTGAAATCGATCTCTACGAGTGGCTGGGTTTCGACCCGTCTCTAGAAATCGATTTTAGGGTGGTTCGATAGTCCCCTCTAGAAGTTAATATTTTCTAGAGATATATAACTAGAGTCTAGGGACCAACAAAATAGACATATCTATAAACATATTTTACTATGGAAATTTTTTTTCCATAGTAGTCGAACATTGAAGTTATCATGAGTGACACGACAGGAAGCCCTTGGTGGTCTTGGGATAAGGGACCTTGAAGCCTTTAACACAACATTGAGACTTAGATGGATTTGACACCATTGGGCGACACCAGAAGAACCATGGACTGGCCTACCCATTCCAATGAACAACACTGAAGAAGCCCTGTACATAGCATGCACCACCATAAAACTAGGCAATGGCGAGAAAGCTATGTTCTGGCAAGATAACTGGCTGAATGGGAGAGCACCAAAAGATGTTGCCCCAGATTGTTATAAGCTTGCGTGGCGAAAAAAACGACAAGGTTGCACCAGCACTACAAACGGGAGGATGGATGCTTGGCTTAAACCGCATCAACACAGACAGAGAACTTCATCAGTTCATCGACCTGTGGACCCAAGTACAAGAAGTTTAGTTACAACCATAAGAAGATAAGTGCTCTTGGAGGCTGAGAACATCAGGCCAGTACTCCGCCAGGTTGGCATATGATGCCTAGTTCTTCGGTGCTTTCTCAGAACTCAATTGGAGGAGTATTTGGAAATTCAAGGCTGAACCAAAGGGTCGCTTCTTCATTTAGCTTCTGCTCCAAAGGAAATTGCCAACAACGGACAGAATCAACAAGGGGGGGGGGGGACCAATTTGCAAACTATGCTACACCAAACAAGAATCACACTCACATATGATTGCCAATTGTTGATTCGCGAAATTGATTTGGCAAGGAGTGGAAGGCTAGTTTGGACAACAGGCGCTGCAGCTGAACCCAGGATGAGGCGGCGGCAATCAGAGACGACATTAAGGCAATTCAACAGCCATGGGAGGAGTGAGCCACGCCCAAAAGATGTGGACTTTGTTTCTTTTGTCGGAAATGCTCTGGCGAGGACGTCTGTGCGGACGGCTCCCATCCGGATGCTTCTTCCCTACAAACCGGCACAACAGGGCTCCTGCCATCTACCTTTGTTCCTTCACTCAAAAAAAAAAAGAGCGATATTTCCCCATCTCGGACCAGCCGTCGCGGCGTTCCCGACCGCTGCGGGAGCCTCCACCAAGCTGCCCACGCGCCACCCTGCTCTGCTTCGCCGTCGACAATCACACACCTGATCCACTGCCCCTGCTGCTACTCCTGCTCCACCGCCCGTCGTGCCCACACGTGGCAACTGCTCCCTCGGCCACCAGCTGAGTACTGGCCTTGGCGCAGAAGCCCTCCGGCCTCGCCTGCTGCTACGCTGATGCAAACGACGGATGAGGCTGCACATGAATACGATGAATATTTTAAGCGTATATTTCAAATGTTTCAGATGTTTTAGAGGTATATTGCATATGTGTCATACGGATGTGGCAAAAGTAGATCGAGATGTTGCATATGTTTCAATGGTTGTACACTTATGTTGGTGTCTATCCCCATTGTTTCATCTGTTTTCTAGACGTATGTGTAAGTGTGTTTATCTAGACGTTGCATATATGTTTCACACATACGTTGCAAGCATTTTATCTGGATGTTACGTATGTTTGCAATATTTTTCAAGTGTTTTTAGTTGTTTTTTTCAAGTGTTTCAGAAGCATGTTTCAAGTGTTTCATCTGTCTTTAGAAGTATGTTGCAAGTGTTGCATCTAGATATTTCAAAAGTAGAACAGATACTGCACATGTGATGCATGTGGGAAGCATGAGGGGCGCGAGCGCGGTGCGCAGGCAACGTTGAGGTGGCGCGGGGCCTGCGTGGGTGCATGAAATGTAGGCGTGGGTGAGGCGTGCTCGCGGCAGTGTGCAGGCGCACGTGCGTGGGAAACGAATTGCACGGGCCATGGAACTGTCCGATGGATTGGTATCCATCGTACGTCCGAGCGCCTGCAGTTTCCTTCTTTTGTTCCTGTATAGCCTGCATCTCTTGCAGTTTTTTCTTTTTTTTCACTTAACTTTGTAAATTTGATACTCCTCTGTACTAAATGAAAATGCAGATTACCTACCATTGATGTTCAAAAAAGTTATCATAGATTTTTTATTAAATCTAAAATGTACATTCTTAAATCCTAGAATTCCAATTCCTAAAATCTCTCTAGATTCAAACTGAACCTAGAATTCCATGCCCAGGTGACTAGCGGGTAGCGATTTTAAAACCCCCGAAATACACGCACGGTAATGGATTTGCCGATGTGGCGACGTTCCCTGCCACAGGATAGCGGATAAGGATGGTGGTGGGCCCGCCCGGGCCCGTTGGCCTCTCACCGGCCGCAGGCCCAACTGGTGGCTGACGCTTGCCCTCCCGCGATCCCGTGGGCCCGCCTCCCTCACTGGCTGCTTCCGGAATAGCTCCCTTTCCTCCGTTCCCCGCCACTCAATAACTTCCATCGCCATCGCGTCACATACTCACATCCCATCCACCAGCTCCGCCCTGACTTCGCCGCCGCCGCCGACGACGACGACGACGAGCATCCCATCCACCAGGTACCCCGCCCCTTCCTTCCCCTTCCGTTCCTGCTGTGTGGTTGTCGGTGCTGGCGAGCCAACAACTCCGTCGATTTCTTTCTTTGTTTGTTTTATTTAGCACCACACATCCGATTGATTGGAGCTGTGTCTGGCCGCCTGCTGTGACACGTAGTGACTGAAATTTCACACCAGGCGCTGCAAGCAACTGCAATGGCTGTGTACCAGCACAACAAACGGGCAGCCAGGAATTAGCTACAGCACAGACCCCCCGCTCACCACTCTAGGCGTATCTTGAATTCTTGATCTGGGTGGTGAGTGGCCTTTACAGTTACAGAAGCTTGTGCGCGCATGGCTAGCAATATGTACGGCACCACGGTGGCATGTAGGATGTGCTACAGGGATCAGTACGGGACGCCGGCGCCGCGCGACTTCACCTGTGCGCCCAAGAAATTGGAGGCCAGGAGGTGGGCGAACGGGTACCACCTCATCTCCAGGCTCTGTCAGTGGAAGCCCAGAGGCAGCAAGTCTGATGGTTCACTGCACGGGCGCGGGGGCTGCGATGCTCGCTGCCACTCTTGTGGTTCTCATAACAGCTGCGAATGCGAAACGCAAGAGTGCGATGCTGCTGAAGAAGGTGGCGCCAGCCCTTACAGGTAAGCTTTAGCTGCTGCCCTGCTTTTCTTCTACAGAATCAGTGTGTTTTCTATAAGAGGGAAAACCATGTAGTAATCTTCCTATGCTAGTAGATACTTTAGTCAGCAAGTTCAGTTTCAGAATATATTAAAGCCTTCTTTTCAGTAATGTTGTTTGGATTGGTGGTTATTGTCCCGGGGCCTTAGTACATTTATTTGTGGTAACTTGTACAATAATAATTGTTAAAACAGTTGAACTTTTTCTTAGTGGATCAGTGGAAAATTTGCAAGTGCCCTGTGCATCATGTAAGCCAGCTTTGGGGGTCATGTTCGCATTTAACAAACACCAACGCTTGGAATATTTTTTGTCACATACTTCACTTATGGGCCATCTATTCTTCATTGGTTGCTATGCATCTTTATTATTTGTCTAGTGATTACTGTTATATGCATTTAGGTTTGCATTTGCTAGAGTGTTTTCACTTGTGCATAGTAAAGTCTTCCCACAATATATTATCAGCCTAAATATGTAACCTGCTGTCAGGGTGCTTTGAGAAAACTTATTTTGACTTGTTTTCTCTGATGATAAAAGCATGGGCAGCCCCTACTTTCTCTTTTTCATTATATATTTTTTGAAATATTGAACACAGTTAGCTGACGATCTATTCTTTCTGCTTTGAAGCAAATTTCTATATATGCATTTTCTTTTAATATAGGCCACAATGGCATCATAAGGCTCAATGACTGTATGTGCAAAGGTGCACTGTTGTTTTTAGACTAGACATCTAACCATGAATGATTTCCAATTATCTTCCAATGTGTTTGTTGCAGAGATTTCAAGCAACATTCGAGGGGAAATCCTCAATTTTCAGATGATCAAGTTCCATCAAAGAAGAAGTCAGCCTATGCTAGTCAAGGGTTGGCTGAAGCCTGCAAATTTGTTTACAATGATGCTAAGTTTGTAAATGAAAGGGCTCAAAGTGACATTCTATTACTTTCACGGTACTCTTCTACTCCAAAGTAGAACCGTATTCATATTGCTAAATTTGCTCCTTGATAAAAGCAAGTTATTGTTTGCATAACTGTTTATTTTGTTCTTATATCTGATCTACTTTGCATCCTAGTGGCATAACAAGGCTGAACAAACGTGCATGCCAGGATGCTGCTGTTTTGGGCCTGGGGTTTATCAAGCTTGATGGTACATGCTCTCCTTTTGGGACAAATAAGCTCTTGATATAAAATTATTTATTATTTAAGCTTCATCTTAACTTATCTTGCATTACAGCTCGTGCACGAAAGGATACTCAAAAGATTGACCACACTGTGAAGGAGAGAGCAGCGCGCCTTAACCATTTTGCCAGAGTATGTATCTGTAAGATACTAAATTATTCTTTTTTTTTTTTGTATTCTGTCTCCTTTTTACATCTATGTAAATAATCAGCATTTTCATGCCTATTCAGGCATTTAAGGAGCGAGCTCAGTCAGACTTGAAGAAAGCTGCAGACAAACATTGGAGTGATGGCGCTTTGGAGGTGTGAACTAGTAGTTCATATTATTTTACTTCAATTTGTTGGAACAATTGTAAGATCTGAGCAATAGTTTCCATTTTTACTGTAGGAAATTGCCAGTACTATTCATATCATATAGGAGTAGTACATCTTTTTTTTATCAATTATCAATGCCAGCGCCCTTTGTGTATTGCTGTTGAATTCATGCTAATCTAATGTATTATTGATTTGCAACCAGGCAGATCTGCGACGAGCTGACTTGGTTGTTAAACGACGTGCCATGGAAGACGCTCTCATGGCATTGAAGGTAGCTTTAACTACTTCCGTATCTAGCTCTGAAACTTTGCAACGTCGAGTGTTCAAATAACCATCCTTAGATCTCTACTGTTTCCAATTTTGATTCTGGATATCCTAGCTCATTTTTATTATATGGCGGTTCGAATTTGTATAAAGGGGTGACTAATAGTGAAAGCGCTCATCTTTCTAAGAACTTATTTAGTTTGAACACCAAATCAATAGTTGCTATGCCTTTGACCCACCTGTTCATAGATACGTTCCTCTTCCAAACATTCCCTATGGTGTGGTGGGCAATTTGGTGTGGCAATGTGTGTAAGGAAACCAAACATGCCTTACATAATCACACCGGGAAGTTATCTAATGCAACATCGAATGTCGTGTCTGATTTACCTACTAACTAAATTAAGCAGAATGGGAACTATGATTATGTGGGAATTTTTCTTATGGCACTCTACACTTCTACATGCTTCCCATCAACATAGAAGGTTCAGTGTTCTCTGATCCAACAGTTTGCAGACGAATCAATATTTGCACATTGCTTTGTATACTAAAGAGGCTGCTTTTGTAATGAAAGACTTTCACATCTCTTGCCACAACAAAATTTGCTTCAAGTATAAATCTTGATTTCACACTACCGAACTTCATTGTATCCCAACTTGATAACTATAAGCATTGCTCCTATAACATTTTTATTATAACTTCATATACTTGTATGTAATTTTACAAATTTCAATGCAGTTTGTTCAGGACATCCATGACATGATGGTGAACAGATTATATGAGCAGTAAGTTCTAGAGAGAGTTTGAAATGATAGTTTTGGACGAGCACATAGCTGCTTCATTACAGAGAACTACTTTTTACTTTTGATCTAGTACTTGCTCGCTATGGATCACTTTGAATTAAGCTAAAATTTACTCATAGGCTTCCAAAGGACGGTTCATCTTCTCGTACAAATTCAACAGGGTTTATTTCACTTGAGAAGAATGGGAAGACTCTTGAACTGTTTCCTGGTGAAGTTTCTGCTGATCAAATATATGCCATTGAGGTACTTTCTACATAACTTATTTAGCAGCAGTCTCAGTCCCTCTCCCTCCCCTCCCCCTTCCCCTCTCTCTCTCTCATGGGCACAGTCTTATCGTAGTGTTAACTTTTCTTTGATTTATCCTTCCTAGGAAGCATACCAGAGTATGGCATCTGCCTTTTCTGAAGCTGATGGTATTGACTACACAGATCCTGAGGAGGTGAGCCATTTTAAACTGATTCGATCTATGTCAAACCTCCTACCTTCATATTTGATGTCATACTTTTCTGTTTGTGAAGCTTGAATTGTTAATAGCAACTCTAATTGACCTGGATGCCATGGATGGGAAAAGGAGTGTTTCCTTGATTGCTGAATGTTCAAGCTCTCCAGACGTTAATACTAGGTACATAGAGACTTCTTTCCTGCTGAAGTACCCATCAATCACTTGATTTCAACATAAAAGCTAATGTTTAAATACTGTACTATGATCATGTTGCCAAAAAACGAGTTTGGGTGCCAATTTCTTATTTTCAATGGCCCTAGTTCCCATTAGATTGGTTTATTTTATATTTTAATGCTTCTATATTTCAGGAAAGCAATACCTTAATTCCCTTGTTCTTATTTTGTAAAATTCAACAATACATTGGTACTACTGTATTCCATTGATGAACATTATAAATTTCTACTCTTTGTAGGAAAGCCCTAGCTAACGCATTGGCAACAGCTCCATCTATGTGGACTCTTGGGAATGCTGGCATGGGTGCATTGCAGGTTTGAATTCATCTCTCCTTCCTACCTATCCAAAATGATAAAAGAAAAAGCATAAAAGGCTGTTTGGCACTTCATACCTGAATTTCTATAGGCTGAATGTCTGAGGGCTTATTTGGTTTCTCACCCAGGCTTGCTATTGAGCAAAGAAGTCAATTTAATTTGGGCAAAGAGTCAAAGGCTCCGTTTTTTCTTGAGAGTCAAAATTGGTTCTCTAATAGAAAAGGATCATTTCTCCCACAAAAAATCTGGCAAGGGTAGACTAGGCAACGAATCATGGCTCTTAATCTCGAGAGTGCAGGCTATAATCCACAACTAAATGCCCACATGATTAAGAAATTTCATATTTCAACCATCCATGTTCCAGACCATTCAAGCTGAACACATTTATGTTTGATTCTCACTTCATTTTCGGACTTGTGACACGAAGCTATATTTCTACCAAAGTTCTTTGGTAAGGTTGTTGCAATTTCTCTCCCTTTGGTTGCAGAGATTGGCTCAAGATCCCAATTATGCTGTAGCTAGGGCTGCATCAAGCGCCATTGATGAACTCAAGAAGCAGTGGGAACTTGAAGAAGGTGACAGTCTGAGGTTTGTAATGAATTCAGCAGCAGATGATGACACATGAGGTGTAAACAAGTTGAAAGATTCCAATTTCGATGACAATGGACCAATGCATAAGAAATCATCATGGCCAGCACATGCTGTGTGGCTGTGTGGCATGCGGGTTGGTGCCGTGCTCCCTGGCGCCCATGTCAGCGCTAGCGTAGGTTCAAAACTGACGAAACATACGTCCGTTTTTCTACAATTGCCCTGCCGTTTCCGTATTTTCAGAAAAAATCCAAAAACAGGACGGGAGCTGGGTCGGAAGTGTCCGGGACCGGGACTGAAACGGGAGAGGCTTCATCCCGCCCGTTTTTTCTGGGATCCCGTATTTAGACAGAAATATCCCGTATTTGATCCGTATTTATTAAATCCGGGATGATCCGAAGCGACAAGTCCCCAGAGGCTCAATAGCTAGAAAGCCCACGTCTGCAGCCCAATAACGCAAACCCGTATGCAGTGTCCCCATCCGGCCCGGCCTGCTGCCTTGCGCTCAAGCTGTAGCGGCATCCTGCCTGCTGATGTGTGCATGCGGGCGCATGGCATGCTTCGTGCACTCCAGAAGTGCTGCTTGCCTTGCTTCCTTGTGGTCAATAACAACTTAGACAGTGCAGTACAGGCACAGCAGTAGTGCATGCATTTGAACAGAGCCCAATTGCACTTGTACGAGAGCACGATTGATAAATGAGAAGGATGATTTTTATATTTGCGTTAGTGTTGCTGCACTCCAGAATTGTGTGGTTGCTTACTTTGTGCTGGTTTTAGAATGTCATGATCATGATATGTGATTGTGATCCCGGCTTAAGTTCCTGGTTTTTGCCTGTTTCCGTCATCTTTCCACTCATATTTGTCCGTTTCTGAATACCCACATATTCCGATCCCAGTACCGTTTCCAGTGATGAAATGTAGAAATGGAAACAAGAAGAGGTTCGGTCCATTTCCGTCCGTTTTCAACCAAGAGTGCCCAACTACCTCCTCGTACACACTTCCTCCTACAATGACAACCAACGCCTTTCTCTCTCCACCGTGCCCTCCTCCCTCTTTGATCTCTCAAATGTGCCGGTAACACTTCGATTTGAGTTGGGGTTCCACTAGAGCAAAGTATCATTCCTCCTAAAACGATCGTCGTGAACTAGCAGTGGTCCTAAAACTATCACTATCGGGTTAAGCCTTGACCTGACAGTGATAATGTCTTGTCACTGTCGGGAGTGGAACTGGCAATGATAGTCGAGCCCCATCATTGTCGACTGTTCTTCGTCAAATTCAATTCCGGCAGTGGTACCAAGTTTAGATCTGACATAGATCTGAATTAATTTTTTCACCAACCTTAGCATACCATCACATTTTGTATATTGTAAAATTGTAAAAAGAAGAAGAAGATTAGTTATAGAGATTTGATCCTGCATACCTAATGGAAATTTCCGTGACATTAATTAACATATGAATGATCATTACAATTATTTAATTTTGTACTATACTATATGTACTTGGGGTTCTCTCTCTATATATCTGACTAATAATTAATGGCTCCACCTCTACCTGATACCGTCCTGAGCTGAGATTATTAGCGTTTGCGTCAGCCGTACGTCAGGCATGGGTGCCGGCAACGGCCGCCCAAGTATCGCGGGAGCATATATAGGTTGACGTCCCTCGCTTTGGACCCACAGGTCCATACAATTTATTCCCTTGCTTTGGCTTTGATTTTGGCTCCGTGAGCGAGATGAATGTGCTTATACGCTGGGACAGCGACGGCGACGACAACCACCGGTGGATGCGACGATCCATGCTCAATCGGGCAAAAGGTCCAACAAATTTTATATATCGGAGCTCAGAGGTTAGTTTTTTCGACATTGCGGCGTGATCGCATTTGAACCTGTCAAACGTTGAACATTTGGGCAAGTTGATCACTCGACTAGCGGTTCACCTTTGGGAAAACTGACTGAGAACAAGCATACTAACACCACAGCGAATTGCAAAACCAGCTTTATGAGACCATACTTTAACAGAGGCGGCAATATTGTCCGTCTCTACCTCTCTTAGCCAGACCATACATACAGCGGTCAGACGTCATCCGGACGGACGCCGCGCGCATGCATGCTGCAGCGACTGCTAGCACGTCTACGGCTACTTCACGGAGGGGCCCGCGTTGCTTCGTTTCTCGTGCCTACGCGTGCCCATGCAGGGAACGCGTCTCGATCTGCGCTCGCTCTGTTTCTCGCGCTTGCCGCTCGGCCCGGCCCCCTCCACTCCCACGCGCATGCACGCGGGCCCAATAGCTTAGCAGGCGGCTACTGCATGTGTGTCCCACTGCAACATATGCAACATCAGATCTACTTTTGCAACATTTAGATTAAATACTGCAACATACGCTCGAAACAGTTGAAACACTTGCAACATACGTCTGAAACACCAGAAAACACACGTGTGTAACCATTGTAAAACATGTGCAACATCCAGAGGAAACACTTACAACATACACCTAAAATACTTGAAACATACGCTTGCAACATGCATGTATATGCAACATCCAGATCTACTTTTGCAATATCCTGATAAAATAATAGCAACATAAGTCTGAAAACATATGGAATATTTGGAACATACACTTGAAACACCATTGCAACATGTACAACATTTCGATTTACTTTTGCAACATTGATACAAGACAATTGCAACATAACTATGAAACATTTGAAACACTTGATATAGATGCTTGCAACATGCGGTTTCAGCACAAAATCTCCTTGGTCCTTAGGAGAATGGAGGCTCGTCGGCGTGTGGAGTTCACTGGAATAGAGCTCGCCGGTGGTGCGGAGATCGCTGCTCCGGTGGAGAAGGCCACGACAGGTCCGGTGGAGAAAGCCGTGGCGGGTCTCCACACTGTGCAGGTGGAGCGTGACCTGTGCGCGGGGTAAGCTCCGCTGCGAGCTGTGCATGGGCGAGTTCTATCCCGACCGTCGCAAGCTGCGAGCAGGCGAGATCCACCCTGGCCACGGCGAACTGGGCAAGCGGAGCACGAGATGTGCGCGGGCAGGCTTCGCCCGAGCTGCTGTGAGCTGCAAGCGGACAAGCTCCATCGCCCCGGCTGCAGCGATTTGGGCAGGCGGACCACGAGAAGTGCGCGAGCGGCCTCTGCCCCGTCTGGTCGCCGCGAGCTGCGCGGGTGGAGCGCTGCGAGCTGTGCTTTGGCCGAGCACCGCTTTAGTGGTCTTTTTTTTTTTGAGAAACTGCTGTGTCTGGAGAGTTGGACGAGTGGACAGGAGAGGATTGTTTGGGCTTGCGTCATGGCCCATGAACGTGAGCGTCCGTGAAGAGCATTACCCTACATATACAAGTTATACTGCCCGCCTCACAAAAAGTCCAGCCGGCCATTGGGCCATGGAGGCCTGCTACTGAGCTGAGCCCATCGTGCCAGGGCCATGGCGTGGCAGTGAAGCCAAAGAAAAAGGAGGCCGGGTCGGAGTGGGGGTAGAAGTGAACAGAGATGGAAGGAGAATAGTGTGTGGCGGTAGATAGGTGGGGAGGAAGAGAAGTGGCCAGGGTTCTCTCACCCCTCTGTGGACGTTGGATCTTCATTAACAGGGATGAGTCAAATTGTTGGATAATTTTAGAGACATCCTGTTCGCTTGAACTTAACAGCCTCATGAATACTTTCTGACCGGCTTTGCTTTAATTCAGCTTAGCTACTGGTAGAGTACACCGTATTTGCGTGATGCATACGTACGCGTGGGGATGCACAGTCTCCAGTCCTATCTCCTGTGTGTCTAATAAGGCGCAACAATGCAAGCATACCGCCATGCTGACGATGGCCATTAACTCGTAGCAGCTGAATCATGCGGGCACTGTGGGTTTAATTTGAATCGGTTCTCAGATTAAGTAATAGTTGATCGGCCGGTAATTCAAATGCAGACTCCCACATTTTTTTTGGGTTGATGCACTAAGTGATGATTAGTTTAGGAATGGCATGGTCGCTTTCACATCTTGGTTTCTTGTTATTATATTCCTCCAGCCGTCACGAAGAAGAAACGGAAATAGGCTACAAGGTTACAATAACATATAGGCGTCGTCAGCAACAACCAGGAAAGACAACGACTTACTTCTATACAGGCGTCAAACAACCAGCACAGCCAACGACTCAGTAACCCACGCATCCACATCAAGCAGAGATTGTTTTTTCTGCAAAATACAATGAAGACACAAACACGCTTACTTACCCTCACGACTTACTCGCTAACCTCCAAAATACAAGATACAAGACTCATAGATTTTCAAGATCGATAAAATCACTGTAGGCGCCTCACCTACTACTCAAAGAATAGTGCCGTTAGAATTGATCCAACATCAAGTTAGACAACCTTGAACCTGGATTATATATACTAGTCCATTAACTCGTGCCCTCGCACGAGCTTGAATTTTAGGAGATATAAATATGATGTACTATTTAATAATCTTTTCATTTCCAATTGTGAGGTTTTGACGTTTCTAGATATATTGTTTTTACTATGTATCTAGATAGTACATCTAAGTGTATAGCAAAAGCTATGTATTTAGAAAACTCAAACGTTTTATAATGGAGAGAGTACATATAACTAATAAAAAAATTACTTATACTAAATTGTAAGTTTTTTCTTTGTTTATTTTCTAACATAATAGACATAATAGATACTTTTTAGTCCACATCTCTATATATTTTAAATACGACATTACTTTGAAACCTTACCGTTAATCATGGTGGCTCTTGTTGCATTATGTATATTCTGAAATCATGAATCTAAATTTTGATTTTTTTCAAATTTTAATCTTATTGATTGCTATATAATTTTTTTCTCTCTCCTCAAGTTAAGTTGAAACTCTTGTGCTTATTGTATCTTTCATTAACTCTCCTTTTTGCACTTCTTTAAAATAAGGGTTTTAAGTCATAGAGTATATTCTTCAGTACTTCAATAGCATAAGCCATTATTTGAAGCATGCACTATATCTCCTAAGATAAGTCATAGAGTGTGGGGGATACACCCTCGGGTACCA